TGCACAAGAGTGACTTGACATTGAGCTGCTTCAACTATAATTTTGTCAAATGAACTGTGATGTTTCAAAATCAAAAACAATAATTTGGGACCATACTGCTTAACAACAATGGACTGCAATTATTGTTTAACATACAATCCATTTTTAACAAACTAAGATTATACGATTCAAATACAATTATAAAAGTTATCTTGGTATTTTACTTGGGGTAATGAAGTTATGTAGGCTAGTGTAATTCTCGGTTCATCAAGGTTCTACTGAATTATGTTTGGCAGTGAATAAGTGTAGAATGCAATTTATAAATTCAGGGATACACACCTTTTACACAGTTATAAAGTCTAATTGCCCAACATCAAATCTTACTCTGTGATAATCCAAATTTTAGTTTCAGAAAAAAACTTTGCAAGAATTGTATCCATCTTATAACTTAACTAGTTTTGAAGCTGATAAAAAAAATGGTCTTTGCCATTACTTCATCATAACCTCCAGTTTTTCATTGTCATCTGCTGTGAACAGCTGGCAAAACTACACTGTCTTCTACTGAATGCTTTTATATGTTTTTAAAATAAAAATAAAAAACTAGAAATTGTGTTGGTTGGAAATAATTTACCAGTTTTGTGAAATTATCTTGTCAATAAATGTTTCAAACATGTTTATTCATAAAAACGATTCTTATCCTATTTTTAAACTACTTTATCATGGCTATTCAAAGTATCTCAGAGTAAAATAGGTAAAGCCTTTATCTCAACTGTGATTTTTCTTGACACAATCCTCGTAGTAGTAAAAGGTTTTGTTTTAAAAATATGTGGTACAGTAATTGTTGTTAGAAAACCATGAATGTAGGATACTATCCATTTTCATAGTAATGTCTATGTATTAAAGTTAAAAATAATGGTTTAGATACAGTTCTGAGAAGAAAACCGCAAAAATACGGGTAGCCGCGTACCGTACCGATTTTGTACCGAGAACCGAGGTACAAAATATTGTACCGTACCAAACCGTACCGACCTTAAATTTTCTGTACCGCAGACCCCTAATAATATTTTATGATAAATATGCCCTTTCAAATAGCCATGATGATAATCATCATGGTTGACAATTTGAATTTTGTAAATGAGTAAATAAAAATATAACCTATTAACTTAGTACCGAAGGTATCGGTACCAACATTTCACAATTGATTCTTGGTCCCGGTACTTTTCCCAAGAACCGGTGGAACCGACATTTGACGTAAAGTACAGCTCGTGACATCTAAGCTGGCACTTGGCCGATCGCTAATAGTACCTATTTCAAAAACATTATCAGGGTGTCTACTACATTCTGGATAAAAAATTCATGGACAATTCCCGTACATTTAAGGACACTTTGCCGTAACCTTTTTTGGTGTCATTAGGCCTACCGAATAATTTTCCTGATTTGTCAAACTGTATTAATCTTGTTATTCACTGTAGTTGTACCAGAGAGAAAAGTAAATAATAATAGATAAGAGTTAAAAATTGCAAAATAGAAATTTATTGAAAGTAAACAAACATAGGCCTACCTATACTTTAGGTAAAGCTTTTATCTAACAAAAAACCACTAAGTGGTAACACTTCCCCCGCCAAGTCAGCAACCCAAAAAAGACAATAAATCACCACTTTTCCGCCAAGTAAAACAATGTAATGTATGTAAGTTTGGCAACTTGGCGGCAGACTTTTGCTTGTTTTTTTTTCATTAAAGTTACGTTGGTGGATAATTTCACAAATCAACTTCTCTAATTAATTAGTTCAACTAAGTATAATAATTTCGAGGTAATCAGTAAATATAAAACCATCACTATTATGATTTTATGAAATGTGACACAAATAAGGTCAAATTTTGTAAAATAAGCTCTCATCTAGCAATGTACTATTGGGAGAGATACTTGCTCAATGAAACTAATTTTATGGAATTTTTTAAAGTGATCAAGCAAAAGTCTGCCGCCAAGTGGCCAAACTTACATACATTACATTGTTTTACTTGGCGGAAAAGTGGTGATTTATTGTCTTTTTTGGGTTGCTGACTTGGCGGGGGAAGTGTTACCACTTAGTGGTTTTTTGTTAGATTGTATTTATTTTTGTAGAAAATTAACAGTTAAAATAAAAATCCTCTTTTTTCTTATATATAGACCAGGGCACAACTACACATAAAATGCATTGGTGTTACATAAGTGTTCCGATAATTAAACCCGTATATCTAAAGACTAGTGTAAATTGAGCCCTTATTAGAGAAGTAAAAATGTAATCAAACAGATTAGGTTTGTTAGAAATATCATAAGGCAAAACAAATATTGAAAAACTCATTTTTATCCTAAATTTACATATCACTTTTTACATTCACTTTTTTGCTTGTTTAACATACGTAGACGGATTTTCCCGATTGTTTTATTTGTTTTAGTGTATCAAAACATAAAACTAACCTTATTTAGTTAAATAAATTTTGGCAATATTATGAAGAAACAATGTTAAAACTAACCTTAGTTCTAGTACTAAGTTTCAAGTTCCTAGGTTTCATATGTTTTGATAAGTAGTATTAAACTGTTAAAAATGACGAGCTGCTGTACCAGTGTACCATCGGTACACTGCATTTTTCAATGGAAAGTATCGGGGAATATCACTGCTCTAAGTAATTTTATATAGTAAGTAGCTCAAATCATTCGGTATACCTGAAAAAAATACTTTATAAAAGTTTTAAAATAATTTTTCAGCTGATCCTATGAATTTCTCTAACATTTTAAATTAATTGAGATTTAATCGCAGCTGATCCTTCTTTTGTTTTGATTTTAATCCCATGTTATTTAAATGGGCCAAAATCGTACTTTGAGGGCTTGCCAAGGGTTTATGGGTCAACGCACCGACTTGTGACCCTCAAAAGGCACATCTACACGCTAAGGGCTTTCAAACAACATAAAAAACATTAAAATTGAGCCAGTGGTTTGGGCTGTAGGTCCGTCAACATTTAAGGAGAAGAAGGAGAACACGGAAAATTTGTGAATTTTCAAACTAGTTTTTCTTGGCTCAAACACAACCTTTTTTTAAATTCTTTTTTTTATTTTGCCAAGAATGATTGCCCCTATCCAGTGGATGAACAATTATTTTAATAGCTTTTGTTTCTTCAGAGCTATAGACGAGTAAAAAAGCCACTTTGTCACGTCATGTATATATACACTGCAGCAGCTGTGTACCGCTGGGGGACTTGGCGGGGCGGAACGCTGCCGCGTTCCTTAATAGTGTAACAGAGAAACGCAATCATTGTCTCCTGCAATAGCGACAAATATCTCCATCCGTCACGTAAACTTCATAAAATAGCTTATCCGATCCAGTCGGATTAATTTGGCATGATTCGCCCTGGCACAACGTTAGGTTCTCGACTACTTTTGAAAAAAAATCTTTAATGCATATTGTTACTCAATTCTTAGTACAAAATCAAGGTATGGTAAGCGGCTATTAATAAGCAATAAGCACAGAGTAAGATTATTGTATTCATTTGTAAAGTTAATATCACACATAGCAATCATAAGTTGTTTATCTTAGGCTCAATTACATTTTCTTAATATATTTTACAGCTCTTTCAAGAATCAAAATACCCAGGCCTAAACCTAATTATTTAGGAGGGCCTATATAAACTGAGTAACAAACAATGAGGTTATAATAGCAGCAAAGTTACTATCATCATTCTAGTTCATAAGATTTTGATTGCTTAAAGCATACAACTCAATAAATAAATATATGGGAAACAAAAAACATTGAAACCTGAATAGCCAACAATATAAGACAAAGATACAGAAAATGCAATGACATAATTTGAAACCAAGCAGGCCTACATAGTGATAAAACATTAATGCAAACAACGAAACAACAATGCTTGTGGTTTTGTCAATTGAAAGATAAAATGTCCATAAAAAAGGGGTTAACTTACAAAATAAAGACTGTAGATTATTTACATGTTTAATATGAAACCATAAACAGTTTTATGGCACTAGGCACTGGCCACGGCAAATTGAATCTTCAAGCCGAAAGTACAAGTAAGAAGTGAAATTTAACAGCCATTATAAAGCTATTATTTTCACGATAAAATAGGTTTGGGATCTAATAATAATTACCCTAGTAATAAAAAAAAGTTGTAATGGAATAAAAGTGATGCAACTTTTATGAGCTAGCTGCTGAGTCAACAGTTCTTGGAAGTACTTGACTTGACACTTGATTGTCGTGATAAAATATTAATGGGTTTGAGATTGTTAATGGGATTTTTATTGCATAATTACTCTAGTAATAAGTTATGAAAATGCAAACAAACATCTGATAAACCTTTTATGTGCTCCTAACCAACTAGCGATCAATAAAATTATGGCCCATTAAAAATTTAAGGACATTGTCTGGCATTTAAGGACAATTCCCGTACATTTCATTGCCAGTAAAAATTTAAGTACAATTCCCGGTTTTCCCGGTTGGTAGACACCCTGATTATGTGCCGTCATGTGGGTTGCATCAACTGTCCTCGGGACCCATATGAAGGCGCTCAAGTACATAATACAAGGGGAGTCAACCCCTTGAGGCAGCGGAAATGTTTGCAGTCCGGTCTTTTCCCTAACTCCACCCTTCTCCCGCCTACACTGCCCGCGCTAGGCCAAGTGCCAGCTTAGGTGTCACGAGCTGTACTATCACTGTACCATCACTAGTTTTAATTTCTAATGTATTTTGTTCAGTAGTCAATAACTGCAGAAATGCGTAATGTAAGCCAAGGGGAGATTTGAATGGTTGTTGTTTTTGGTCAGTTACATTACAAAGCTTTATATTGCAAGTATGGTACCTTATTTAACTTATTGTAAGTACGACAGCCATTTCTCTAGGGGTGCAATTTTTTATGTCATGTTTCGTTTACAATACAATAGATATTTGACTTCATAGAACAAAGTAACAACAAATTAATAAGAAGATTAATTGAAAACTCCCGCGTAGAGTTACCAAATTAATACACTTTACCTCGGTTTTCAAGGTCTTGAGCTCGTCCACAGGCTTGTTTGCTTGTTCAATGGGTGTAGGCAGGCTGGGAGTGTGAGGCGTAGCAGTCGGTGTAGCAACAGCTGTTGGTGGAGGGGGCTCAACAGAGCTGGGCTCTTCTTTCTTGACAGGAGCAGAGGAGTCAAACTCAGAAACATAGTCGTCAATGAGAGACGGGGTGTGTAGCATTGTATCCTTGGGAGGGTCGGTAGGGATGGCTGCCTCAACAACAGGCTGCTCAGGGACAGGGGGTGGGTCTTCTGTAGCAGCTGCCGTAGGCTCATCTTGGGCAGCCTCCTCCGGCACTGCTACCAGGTCTTCTTCCTCAATGTGGTCTAAGACACATCAGATTAAAATTAGAATCTTTTATGAACTCAATAAAAACTATTTAATATTACATATCACACCTATCGACGAATACAGTCCTCAAAACAAACAGTGTCAACAAAATTTAAGACTATCCTATATTTTGAAATACAGTAAACTTCCTCTAATCTGGCATTCGCAGGACTTGACACATGTTCATATATTCATATTCAAACATCTTTATTCATCATAAGTCATGTACATTGGTGGTACAGTGAATAGTGTCAGAATACTTAAAATAAAAATACTATATCTATGTATGGGAGGTGGAAAATTCCTCAAAAGAATATAATGCTAAATTTGTTAAATAATCTTTTAGAATTTTCTTGAATTTAGATAGGTTTGTTTCTTTTTTTATCAATTCAGGGACAAATTTTAGAAACTCGTTACCAGCGTATGAGGTTTTTTTTTTCAAACATGCAGGATGATGAAATATTCCGGATTACAGGATGAATATCGGGAATATTGTGGATTAAGCAAAAAATTACATGGAGTTGTGTAGGCATATTTACTCTTAAAACAGCTAAACTACTCTTAAAATCCTTTATTTGTTACTACACACCAAACTTAATACAATATAGATAACAATGACATTAAAACATCACTTATTCTTTTTCTGTGTTCTTCTATTCTTTATTGGGGTTGTCTTCACCACACATTCAACAAGTTGTCATGGTTACTTATCACCCAACCAGGGCCCTGTTTCGTAAAAATACTAGTGTTGTAAGAATATATTACTTACGTCAATCAGCTCATCAGTACATGTACTGAGGTGAAACTCACGACTCAATGAGCTGATTGACGTAAGTAATATATTCTTACAATAATATCCACAGCTCAGGGGCTTAACAATGAATTAAAAAAAAAAAAAAAAAAAAAAAAATACTAGTCTAGTATTACTAGTGGTTTTACTTGTGTAGACAGCAAGTGTGTTTCATAAAGTTTTACTCTTGTAAATTACACTGATAAATACTTGCCATTTTCTAACAAACTCTCTACACCCGTATTATTTGTAGTACACTAGTATTTTTTAAAAGAGTGATATTTCATTACTTACATCATTGTAAAAATGAATTATTAAGCTTTTTTGCCAGTGCAAATTGGCTCACGTTAGATAAAAAATAGTTTTGCGAGTGCTAAATATGATAATTATTAGAAATAAATTACAAGCAATAAATGTACGACGTAGTACAAAATGAGTGAAATTGAATTTTATAATGTACGTATGTACAATCTCCCTATTAGAATAATTATAATTATAAGTTATCAATTTGTGTGAAATTTTAGTATAATTTTACATGAGTTAAATGTCATGGTTATATCAACTATTTAGCTATAATAACAGAGAAAAGATTAAGTTTCGAGAGAAACCAAATTAAAACCGCATACCGTATTGTATACAAAAATCTTCAAAAATGTATCCAACATTGCAACATTAATCAGATTATTTTACACCCAAGGCTCTCGGTTTTATTTAAGGACATTTTGATAGGAAATAATAGTAAGACAATTTTAAAGAGGAGTTGCATTGTGTTTTTTTTAGGTGCTAATTATTTGCTTCCCTAAATAGCTAAAAAACAATACTTAAACTGTCTAACCGTTTCCAAGCATTAAACAGCCTTGATCAAGAAGACTCAGAGGTAAATATAATTGACAAGGTTTGGAAGAACATCAAAGAGACCCTGCAAGACTGTGCAAAAGAAGTTTGTGGGAAAAGGGAAAGGAAAACAAAAAACCATGGTTTGACGAAGAATGTGAAGCTAATGTCTTAACCCTCCGAGTGTCACTCGTCGAAAAATCGACGCGCGACTCGACGCGCGAACATCGTTTACGGCGAAGGCTCTATGACTGACTGAATCGGATTGAACTGGATCGAGTTAGGTATCGTTCTTCTCGTTATATTCTAAGCTTTCTCCAGAGGTCTGTCTCAGCGCTGTATGTTCTCCGAGCCGATCGTAATTGTAGCAGACAGCTGACGTGCGTATTTGTAAATAGCTAGGTTACCCTCGGACCGATGACTGATGTGTTTTATTACGTTTATCATTGTTTTAGTGTTAAAAATCAAAAGTAGTGATATACATACGTGGTGCATTATAAGAAGATTTAAGTGATTTTGAAGGGCTGGTTGATGATCCTGAAGAAGTAGGTAGTGATATTGATGTAAATTATCAGCCAGATTCCTAGCTATGGTTAGGCTATGCATTCTTAGCTAAACGCTATGTACTGAAATCTGTTTTTTGCCCATAACTTATTTATTTGCAAATCTACTTCCTTATATTATTATATATTTGTAATCCTCATAAAATTTAGAACAAAGTGGCTATTTTCAAATATTTTTAGGCCTATAATTTATCCAATTTCATTGAGCGCGAACTTATTTTTTTTTTGAAAATTTTCCAAAATATTTTTTTTACCTAAAAATTTTTTTTGAAACAAATGTTCCTTATGTTTTATGTATAATATTGAAGCCCATGATTTTCCAAACAAAATGGTATATAGAACAGTAGAATTAACATTGTTTTAAGCTTCTCAGATCGGTTTTAATAAAACCTTGCAAATGCGCCAAAAATAGGCGGACATTAAGGCCTAAACTATGGACACTCGGAGGGTTAAGCCCCGTGTACACGTAGCAAGTTTACTAGCAGCTAGTATTCGCAGCTAGCACTAGCTGGGCATACTAGCCCGAAAATTCCCATCTACACGTGGCTAGTTATTAGCGCTTATTATTAGCGCTAGTCATGTAGAAGTGAAGTGTTCATTGGTCGCAATAGTCATTTCAGTTTAGCACAAAATGTCTTCTGTTCCTTTTAATTTTTAAGAATTGGTGTACAAGAGTTGTGTTAACATGAACTTAATCTGTGTGGGTTCGAAAGTGGATTATGAGGCGAGAATTTCTTGGTGCGTCCAATACTCTTTTAAGAGAACTGGCGTTGGGAGACCAGAGTACTTTAAGTTTTTGAGAATGAATGCTTTAAAGTTTGAAGAACTGTTGGAACTAATCACTCCACTGATTAAGAAAAATGATACTGTGATCACTGGCGTATGGCGAGTGGCAATTAGCACTAGCAGAAGTGCAAATGCTCCGCTAGGGCCGCGCTAGTTCGCTAGCGCTAGTGGTCACGTGACCACCCCCACCACTTATTAGCGCTAGTAATATCAAACATGTTCAAAACGACTAGCAGCGAGTAAAATGCTAGCGCGCTAGTAAATTTTTACGCTAGTAGACCGTTTACACAAAGCGAATTTACTAGCGCTAATCAACTAGCTGCTAGTACTAGCCTCGTGTACACGGGGCTTTACAAAGGAAAAAAGCAAAAGAAGTCTGGCTCAATAAGAAACAAGACAGAGATAGAGAAAACTATACAAAAATCTCAAGAGAGACAGTAAAAGTGCTTCGGAGGAAAAAAAGAGAATGGGTAAACCAAATCTTAGAGAAAGCTGAACAGGACAGGACAGCAAACAACAGTAGAGACTTCTACCGATCAATAAGATTTTTTAGGAAGGGATACAGTCCAATGCCATATGGCATAAAAAAACAAATCAGGACAACTGGTGGTGCAGAGCAAAGAAGGACTACAAGTATGGCAGGAACATTTCAAAGATCTTTTGAATGTAAGACAGTCAGAACAAGATGAAGAAGAGGAGGAAGCGTACCAGAATGTAGATCCAATGGTACCATACCCAACAATTCAAGAAGTAGAAACCTCAATCAAGGAATTAAAAAACAATAAAGCCCCAGGGGAGGACTCTATTCCATCGGAAGTAATCAAAGCAGGAGGCACAGAACTGGCAAGGGAGATTCATAAACTGATCATTGATATTTCTTGGGACAACGAATTGATTCCAAATGAGTGGAAGGAAGCAGTTATCACTCCCATTCACAAGAAAGGAGACAAAAATGAATGCACCAATTACATAGAAATTTCCCTCCTCAACTGCACCTACAAAGCACTATCAAAGATTTTACAAAAAAGACTAGATGAATATACATCAAATATCATAGGAGACCATGAAGCCGGCTTTACAAGAGGAAGATCAACCACGGACCAAATTTTTATACTGAAAGAGGCAATTGCCAAATATTATGAATTCAACAAGTCCTTTCTCTGCCTTTTCATTGACTTCTCCAAAGCGTACGACTCGGTCACTAGGAGAAAACTCTGGAAAATAATGGAAAAGTATGGAATACCTAAAAAGTTAATAAATCTATCAAAGTCAACTGTATCAGGATCTAAATGCAAGGTTAAAGTCAATGGAGAATTCTCAGAGGATTTTGATATAAATACTGGTGTGAGACAAGGAGATAGTTTGTCCCCATTGCTATTCAACCTAGCTCTGGAAGACTCTCTACAAGAATTACAAAAGCTAGAAGCTAGAATTACTATGGGAACCAACATAAATATCCTGGCATTTGCAGATGATGTGGCACTTGTAGCCAAAAACGAAGAAGAACTAAAAGTTATGGTCTCAAAACTTATAAACCACACTAAAAAGTTGCCTTAAATATCAATGAAGACAAAACCAAGATAATGGAATGTGGAAGAGCTACCCAATTAAATAAAGAAAATCATGTAGAAATAGAAGGACACAAATTTTATAAAGTAAACAATTTCTCTTACCTAGGAGTAATGTTGACGAATAATGATGAAGAAGACTCTGAAATTTAGCAAAGATTAAATGCAGCACATAAAAGTTTATCGGCACGCCACAAATTGTTGAGTTCTCGCCTAATCTCACAGAAAACTAAAATCCGTATATACAAAACTATAATAAGACCAGTATTACTATATGGCTCAGAGAATTGGGTGATAAGCAAGAGAACCGAGAAACGACTTATAGTGTTCGAAAACAAGATTTTAAGGAAAATCTTTGGACCAACCTTTGAAAATGGAGAATGGAGAGTTAAGCACAACAGGGAGTTGAGAGGGTTGTACAGGGACCCAGATATTGTGGCTGAGGTGAGAAGTAG